GCAGTGAAAGGCGGCTGAGGGGAGCAGCAGGAGAGAGAGGAGAGGTCTGCCGCACCATGGGGCCAGGGATCAAACTTGCACTGAGACACCTGTGGCTCATTTGCAGTGCCAGGCTTTAACCTGCTGCACCACCTGGGAGGACCCAGAAAAAAGAACTCTTAACCCAAATTTGTCTCATTTGCTGATAGGTCAGACTACATAGCAGAAACAACTAATGCTCCTTAAAAAAAATCTATGAGTATAATTTTAATAAGGTATAATTTTAACATGAGGATGTATGTATGACATTGATATACAGTACACATCTTACATTTTTATCTGGAATAACTGACAAGGCACATTGCTAAAGAGTTTTATCAGGAAATCATTTTTAAAAATGTAAAATAATGTTAATACCCAAAAGGAAGATACATTTGATATGTCTAATTTTCACTATCTACTTTATCAAATATTTTTAGGGCTGATTCATTTAATTGTAAATATAAGTCATACAATGTTTTTCATTATCTTTTCAGTAGCATTAGCTATAAGAAATTAAGTATGAAAATAAGAGAATCAAACTTTGCTAGCCTAAGACTCAGGACTTGAAAGAATACAATGAAATCAGATTTTTATAAAAAGGAGATTGACCCTTTGTGGTTAAATCACACAATATGTTTATATCCGAACAGAGTATGTTTCTGGAACATTTATTTGTGTCTAACCTAGACATTAGAAACTTGTGACTTTAGGTTGAAAATCCTAAAGCACTGTGGTATCTATGAGCTTCTTTTCAAGCTTCTGCATAGCAAAAGAGACATTAACTAAGACAAAGAGACATCCTACTGACTGGGAAAAAATCTTTGCACACCACACAATGGATAAGGGACTGATCACAAAGATATACAATGAGTTCACATAAATCAACAAAAACAAACAACCCAGTCAAGAAGTGGGCAGAAGAATGTAAAAGACACTTATCCAAAGAGGAACTGCAAATGGCCAACAGGCACATGAAAAATCTTCAGCATCCTTTGTAATCACGGAAATGCAAATCAAAACCACAATGAGATACCAACTCACACCGGTGACAACAGTACATACTAAAAAAACTAACAACAACAAATGTGGGCAAAGGTGCAGTGAAAAAGGAACTCCCTTACATTGCCAGGGGGTATGCAAACTATGGAAAGCTGTATGGAAATTCCCCAGACTACTAAAAATGGAGCTACCATGTGACCCGGTAATTCCATGCCTAGGGATCTACCCAAAGGACACAAAAACATTAACTCAAAAGGATACATGTACCCCTATGTTTACTGCAGTACTATTTACAATACGTAAATCCTGGAAACAACCCAAATGCCCAAAAGTAGATGACTGGATCAAGAAGATGTGGTTATATATACACAATGGAGTACTACACAGCTTCAAAAAAGATAAACTCATGCCATTTGCAGCAATATGAATGGAACTAGAAGGGATTATGCTCAGAGAAATAAGTAAGAAGGAAAAAGAAAACTATCACATGGTTTCACTTATAGGAGGGATATAAGAGAATCAAATAAGATATAGGGGAGGAAAGTGTATTGTCATTACAATACAAAAACAACACAACAAAAAGAAACAATTATAAACCAGAGATATCCTACAGCAGAGGAGGACAGAGAAGGATCAGAAGGAGGGAGGAATGTGGGGGACTATGGTGATGATGAGTGGGTGAAATGGGGGAAAGAAGAAGTAAACATTGTTTTAAAATGAATGATAATGTAAATAGATATATAAATTAATAAAAAATAAGAAAGAAAATTTTTAACTCTAAAAAGAAAAAAAAAGGACTTTATTTTCAAAGCAGTATTTTATAAGGTCTTTTGATTTTTCTAAATAACTACCCAACTGGTTATGGGGTAGAGAGCACTACTAAAGCTTATGGCTATTACAACCAATGAAGTAAATAGTTATGAGCACAAACACATGCAAGATGTGTGGCATTGCCATTGTGTTTGCATCCAAATGAAACAAGAAAATATATTCCCTATAGTTTAAAGAAAATAATAGTGATTAGTAAAATTCTACCCATTAGGTCTGTATCTATTCCCTAAATGCTGGTACTTACATTAATTCTCACAGTCAGGTGGCATACAGGTGGATATATGCTCAGAGCCAAATCATCCACACTAAGGGCAGAAGGCAAAAGTAACCATTAACAACAACAAATACCCCCCCCCCAAGACTAGTTAGATGACAGGTAGCTACTGCATTGCTAAGGATCTGACTACTGAGAAAATGACTGTCCCCCAAATACTTACCAGTTCCTTAAACTGGGCAGTCAGGCAAACAATAACGAATCAATTCAAGAGTATTTACTAAGCAAATACATACACCTTTTGCTAGGAAGCTGGAGAGGGTAGCTTTCTTGGCCCATAGAATGGGACATGATTAATTCAGTTAAAAATGTGAGAATCTGAAACCATCAATTTAATAACTGACGTGGGGGGAGGGGGGGAGTTTCAGCCCTGGACTGCCACTACAGTGAACATTTAAGCAAGTGATCAAAATTAGTGTCACCAATAACAGCACAAACTAACATCATATGCCTTGCCAGTAAAGTGCAATAAGAAGCTTAAAATACTCAACTGTGTGATTTTCTTGCCAAAAAAGGTTTAACCTGAATATACTCTATAATCATGGGAAAACAATCACATGAATTCAGTTTGTTGATAAAACTGACTTGGGGCCCTCCCTGGTGGCGCAGCGGGTTAAAGCGCAGCACTGAGAATCTGAAGCCACTTCCGCATGAGTTCGATTCCCACCTGCCTGCTGCCCCGGAGGAGACCACATGGCGAGCCAGACCTCTCCTGGCCGGCCCGCTGCTCCCCTCAGCAGTGTACTTCGTCCATCTGCCTGTTCTGCTCCCC